TATTTAATCAAATAATAATGAGATATTCTATACAATTGTCAAGGAACAAATTATTTCAATACTATTTAAATTGTTCCTGAGAGTGGTAAAAAGTAAACATTTCCCAATTCATGTTATGAGTCTGGAATAATCTTATTACAAAACTAGAAAATCATAGTAGAAAAAAGGGAACATGTAGGTTAATATTTATTGTGAACATAGATGTGAAAACTTCCAAAATAAGATACTACCATATCAAATCTAAAAGTATATTTTAAAAAATATACATCAAGATAAAAATGGATTTATTTCAAGGACACAAAGATGGTTAACAGATTAACATGAATCGCCACATTAACAGATTAAGGGAGAAAAGTCATATGACCTTCTCAATTGATGCAGAAAATGCATTTGATAAAATTCCACACCCTTTTATAAATAACAACTCTTCACAAGCAATGATTAGAAGGTAACCTCTTTAATTTGACGAAGCAAATATAATTAATAATTAGATATTCTTAGTATTCTCTTTAAAGTTAGGAATAAGACAGAGTCCAAGTCTAATTCTCTCCAGTATGGTACAAAGTAAAAGAAATAAATGATACAAGCTTTGAAAAGAACAAAACAGAACTTCATGATTACTACATGGGAACTATTAAAAAATCAGTAGTCTTTTAGAAGTAATGGAAGAGTTCGTCAAGTTTGTTAGATACAAGATCAAGATACATCAGTTGCTGTCCTATAAACCCAAGGTATATTTTTTTTAAAGGGACCAAATTTCAGGGTTTATTTCATATTTACTATTTATTTCATGATGCAGAGATTGTAACTGTAGCACAAGTATCTGAGCATTCCTCGTTTGATCAAAATGGATTTTTAACTGTCTAAATAGTCAAGATACTGTATGAGGTGCTATATAATAGGTTCTATACAGAATTGACCCTGTAGATGTTTATAATTTGGGGGCACCCTGTACTAAGAGATAGAGATACACTAACTGTACAACAGGAATAATAAGCCAATACATAAATGAACAATAAAGTGTTTAGATTTAAGTTTAAAATTACAATTAAAGAGACAACTTTAGTTTGGGTATGGTGGCTCACACCTGTATTCCCAGCACTTTGGGAGGCCGAGATGGGTTGATCACAAGGTCAGGAGTTTGAGACCAGCCTGGCCAAGATGGTGAAACCCTGTCTCTACTAAAAATACAAAAATTAGCCAGGCAAGTGCCTATAATACCAGCTACTCAGGAGGCTGAGGCAGGAGAATCACTTGAACCCAGAAGGCGGAAGTTGCAGTGAGCAGAGATCATACAACTACAGTTTAGCCTGGGCAACAGAGCAAGACTCCATCTCAAAAAAAAGACAACTTTATCTCAACCTTTTTATTATGAAAAATTTCAAACATATATCAAATTGAAAGAATTTTACATAAATACTTTAAAGAGTCTACCTAGATTCTGCTATTAAACATTTTATTGTAGTTGCTTTATCACTTATCTGTCATCTATTTGGTCAAAAGACGTTAAAAAAGAAAAACTCTGACATCTAGCATTGTCAGGAGAGGAAGCAACAGTATGTTGATGGCAATGTAAATTGGTACAAACACTATGGAAAATTACTTCCTTTTATACAGTAAAACTGCACATTCCTGTGTCTCATAAAATCTACTTCTAGCTATATACCCCAGAACAGTAGCTATCAAATATTTTTGACCATAAGCCACAGTAAGAAATGTACTTCACATTGTATTTCAGTACCCATACACATATGTATATATATGTCTCTATGTATGTGGGTATGTATATATGCATATATATGTACGTAAACATATGCACGCACATACATATACAAAAGGCACAAACTTTTATGAATCAAGCTTTTCCATGGATTACGGTCAACTAGAGAACTTGTTAAGTACAGATTACTGGACCACACCCTCATAGTTTCTTATCCAATAGATCAGCAACAGAGAGGAGAGGTAGGAGTAATATGGGAAATTTTGCCTTTCTAACAAGGTCTTATGTGATGTATGTTTCTGGTCCAGAGACCACAAATTGAAAAATACTAATTTATCAGACAGCAACATCTTTCCACTGGTCCTTCTTACCTCACGTTACTCTTCTATAAGTAAGCAAGTAGTTACTTGCTGGGTGGGAGACAGTACACTCAAAATGCACTTGATGCTTTTTTATAACTCTGTGCTTTTGCATTATTTTTCCCCTTCTCCTAAACAAACCTTTGTGTGTGTGTGTGTGTGGTGAGACGAAGTCTCGCTCTTCTCACCCAGGCTAGAGTGCAGTGGTGCAATCTCAGCTCACTGCAGCCTCCACCTCCTAAATTCAAGCAATTCTACCTCAGCCTCCCGAGCAGTTGGGATTACAGACGCCTGCCACTACGCCCGGTTAATTTTTGTATTTTTAGTAGAGATGGGATTTCACCATGTTGTCCAGGCTGGTCTCAAACTCCTGACCTCAGGCAAACCGCCCACCTCAGCCTTCCAAAGTACTGGGATTACAGGAGTCAGCCACCACGCCTGACCAAACTGCCCTCTTTTTCTTGCCCTTCCCCCTACTCTTTCTTATCTGTTCAAATGTTTTTCTTTATAAAGCCTCTCAAATGCTTCATTTTCTATAAAACCTTACCTTATGCCCTGAACTAGAAATGTACTGCTTTTTTTTAACCCATGGTACATTATATCAATTTACTATCTTGTGTTGTAGTTGTTTATATGCTTTCATGTTCCATATTTTACAGTTATAAACTTCTTAAGGATTTGAGTTGCATTTATGCCATAATACTTAGTACAGATCTTTAACTGTTTGATAAATATTGGAATATGCTAAAACTTTGGTGCATATAGTTTTTAAATTATTGAATGAGATAATGTTTGTAAAAATACTTTATTAATCATAAACATTATATAGAGGTGAAGTACTTTCTTGCAGTGACTGTGGACATTCTATAGATGAAAAAGCATATCTCAAAATTTATTTTTAAACACTTCAAAGAGATCAGGAAAATGACAAAGAATAAAAAAATATCTGATCTAATGTTTTGCCAAAATAAAAGGCAAAAAAATTGATGGGAAAAAAAACAAATGCAATCTCCTGGCTATATTGCAAAACCTTTAATTATATCACGTATGCATACATACACACACACAGAAAAATAGTGGTGTATATATAACTGTTGGTTATATTAGCACTGCTACTAGGGTATCAACCTAGAGCAAGTGAAGTATTATTGGAGATATAAAAAGCCTGGTTGTGATGCCAAAAATTGGAATAAAAAGAATTAACTAAGTTTCACTTGCCACTAATCTTCTGATGGAGGGAGTTACAACTTTCTTGGAAAATAAAATCCAACACATTTCACAATATGTGATAAAATTGTCACAATGATATCAGTAAGGATAAGGTCATGGACATTAATAAACACAAGATGAAATAAACTTACTGTATAAAGTTGCAAACATCCCAGAGGCGTGTATCAGTCAAATTCTTTGTAGTTCAAATTATTTTTCCATATTTTGTAGGTAACTGTATTTGTCTGTCCTTCATAGAAATCTTGGGAGGATAATATGCAGTAATTGTTATGGAAATATTTCTAGTTTTTAGGAGGAAAGGTGCTACAAACTTCCTGATGTAGCTAATATTGTATTCTATGAGGGATTATTGTGCTCTTAGTTAAAATTTTAGATTTATTCAATAAATTGTTAGATCTGCTTATATGAGAAGAGAGAACTTAATATTGATGATGTTCTAATCATATTACTGGTGATGTTATAATTAGCTATCATTGACAAAAAGCTACAATTTTAGTTTGAAAAGACAAACAAGATTCCTAAGTAAATATGAACATGCTAAGAACTATATAATTACCCAGTGCCATTTTGTCACCAAAGTACTTTTTCCAATTCTGAATGCCAAAACTAAAACAGATTTTGTAGAAATGTCATTAAGATTAAAGGTTAGAAAATAGCCTTAAAGTTTTAATGAAACAATGAATAGTTTTTCTAGTAAGAAGAAGGCCAGCAGGTGATTCAGTAAACATTTTCAGATATATGGAAAGTTGTAAATAAATGGCAATCTTCTCTTTCAGATTGTAAATAGTACAAGAAGAAAAAGTAATAAAATATAAGACAGTTTTAGGTTACTTCAGAGAGCAAGAGTGGTTAAAGAAAAATTCAATCATAAGACATTTGGGGAAGAATATTCTTACATTACTTTAAATTTGAAACATAGCATAATCTCTTTGTTTTCAAGTGATGAAAATAAGATAATGTTACCAAATCAAAGTAACACAACCAATTAGTGACAGCATAATTCCAGCTCTCATATGAAAATCTAGGCCTTTGATTCTTGACACCGGTCTTCCACTGCTTTTCCATTTTTTGTTTCTTAATGAACTAGTTAGTTTAAATATGGCCTGAAAATTGACAATTATCTCTGAAAGACCTTTCTAGCTTAAAATGTCTGCGATTATCAATGGGTCTGTTAATGAATGAGCTCTCCAACCTCTTTCCTTCTGCCATTCACTTGTGAAAAATCTTGTTTTACTTTAAAACTTACAGACTTCTTGAGAAGCAAGAGCTCAGATATAAATCTTAAGTGCTTTTTGTTTTAGACTTTTGAACATAAATATCACTGGGCATTTTTAATGCACTATGTCAAACTTTTACAATTCTATAAAATGTAATTTTATGTATTTTCTAACTTCAGAAGCTGAAGTTAAACAAAATAGATAATTAGCCTTTGTCAGATTCCTCAAAAGTAGGTAATTTATTCTGATTCCACATTCAGTACATTTTTTCCAATTTGCCATAGTAACCATAATATAAAAATTTCAACCAGAATGCCTAATTTGTATAGCAAGCAGTGAATGTATTAAGATAACAATTTTATTCCTAAAACAGTTGTTCACGTTTAAAGTAAAATGATTGTTCTTTGTTGTTAATGTATTTAAACTGGGCATTCATTGCAATTTAGTATTCATCGCCTTTCTCTTTTCTTTCAGGCCTGTTTGTGGAATCAGAGGGAAAACGCTCATAATTAACCTGCCAGGTAGCAAGAAAGGATCTCAGGTAAATCACCTGGACATATGAATGGTTTAGTGTAAGAACTTTTGACCAGCTGTGAATGTTAGCCAGCCAAAAAGTTGGAGCACTCCACAAGACTGCCCTCACTTCTAATACCAATTGCAGGATTCCCAAAGTCAGTCTCAGGTTCAATAATTAAGTGGAAAGACATAGAACTGAATAAAAACTGTTATACTTACAGTTACGGTTTGTTATGGGGAAAGGATACAGATTAAAATCAGCCAAGAGAAGAAGTGCATTAGACAAAGTCCAGGAATACCACCAAACACAGAGCTTCTATTTTCCTCTCCCTGTAGAGTCATGAATGCTTTACTCTCCTGGCATTCATGCATGATAATATACTTGTAATACTGCCATCAGAGAAGCTCACCTGAGTTTTTGATGTCCAGATTTTTTTTTTGCAATTCATTATATTTTGCCCATGTGAATGAATGTTAGTCTTTAACACTTCCCAGAGATTGGACTGATACTGTTGTTCTCCATTACCTTCCAAAACTGACACCATGTGGCCCAAAGTCCCCATTATAAGTCATATAGTTAGGCTGTCTAGTGGCCAAAACCATCAGGTAAACAAAGACACTCCTGTTATGCATACATTCTGAGAACCTAGAGATCTCCAGATAGTTAAGGCAACTACTTTTACCCTCAGACTCTCTTTGGGTACTGTTAATTCTTCACTCTACATACAAGCTACCTTCTGGCCTTTGGCCAAGCCTTTTTTTTTTTTTTTTTTTTTGGGATAGCAATACAGTCATGTTTGTCTGGGCATCTGTATTTACTATGGCATTTATATGACAGACACAGCAGTAGTATTACTGTGAATATGCCTAAGACTTGGCCAAGGCACTGTAGGGTGTGAATAGACTTAGAGAAATAACTAAGCCATTATACACATTTTCACAAATTTGTATTAATTTACTAATTTATCACCTTGATCTACCACTGTTGATATGTTTGTGTATCATAGAAATTAGCTGATAGTGGCAGATGTGGTGGCTCACACCTGTAATCTCAGTACTTTGGGAGGCTGAGGTGAGCAGATCATCAGAGATCGGGAGTTTGAGACCAGCCTGGCCTACTAAAAATAGCAATTCAGGGGATTCTAGAAGGACCTTCAGGTTTAATAATTCACTAGCATTCATGGAACTCACAGAAAGCGGTTATACTCATGATTATTATTCATTGCAATAAAAAAGGAAAGAATATGGATTAAAGTCAGCTAAGGAAGAAAGTACATAGAGTACCTCTGCAGAGTCTAGCAGAGGTAACAAACAAGGAACTTGTGTTGTCCTCTCTTTTTGGGGACATGGACATGTCGCCCTTCTTGCATCAGTCTGTGATACCAGCTGGAGTAATGCCAGCTGGGGATGCTCACCTGAGCCTTTGGTATCCAGAGCTTTTACTGAGACTCAAACACATACTGCCAGTGTGGCTGACCTGTAATCTTTAATCCTAAACTAAAGTAGAGAGAAGCAATTGGGGGCCTTCTGTATAGAAAGTGGGATCAGAAGGCCAAGAAAGGGAATATGAATATATATATATCCAAGTCACTTAGGAACTTTTATGCAGGTGCAAAAACTTATGTGTAAGTGGCCACAAGGTTGTTTAATAGACAGATGAATGAAACTCCATGTTTACTTTTAGACAGCAAGGCTTTGTGTGAAATCTTGAATTAATGGGGAGGGAGGAAGGGTAGGCCATGCCTGTCTGTTTTTTTCCTGATACCTTCCCCTCATTCCTGAACTATAGTCTAACAATGTTAGACTGTCTCTGATGGCCAAAGTCCATAAGCAAACAAAGACATTACTATTAGGCATTGTTAAAAACGTGCGCTTTGAATGAAGAGACCCCCCCAAACAGGCTTTGTATGAGCAACATGGCTGTTTATTCACCTGAGTGCAGGTGGGCTAAGGCCGAAAAGGGCGTTAGTGAAGGGCAGTGGGATAGGAGTTGGTTCTATAGGTTTGGGGTGGGCTGTGCAAAGTTTCAGAGTAAAATTAGTTACAGTGGTGGGGGTAGGGGCAAGGAGTATACATTACCTTGAGTTCAGTTACAATGGCGGGTGAGATAAGAGTAGTTAAGATGGTAAGGTCGGGTGAGGAGTATTCACATTATTATGATAACAGTTAAGATGGCAGGGTGGGGTGAGGGAGTAGGGGTGATCAGCCTAGGCAGGCAGGAAGGCCGGACTTTAGACTTTTTGGGTCCTGGCTTGCACACGGAGCCCTGACAGGCATGAAATTCCAAAGACATAGAACTCACTCTCAGAAGTTGAGTGTACAAGCCAGACCTCTCCTCAGTCAAGGTTAAATTCTTTACTACACAATCTTTAAACAGTAAACTGATTGAGCCATACAAAGATAGGTCAGGAGATTAGACATCTTTCCAGGTGTTATGTAACCCTCTAAAAATTTTTAAGATTTTGTTTATATCTTAGAGTTTAAGCTAATACTTCAAATGTGAAAGAGAAAGACCTCCACCTATCCTGCAAATATATCTGGACTTATGTTCTGGTTTTTAATTTCTCACGTATTCTCTTTTGGTTGTATATTATAGATAATAGGGAGCACCTCAGCAGCAGGTTATATTGACTTTATGCAGTGCTCTTTACAAGCTTATTTTATATTTTACATGCAGTACAATGTTGCCTCGCTATACTTTATGATGGTAGTTAGAACTTTAGCTCTTTCGACAAAATAATCTGGTTCTCACATGGTTGTTAGTTTTAGTGCCCTGCTCTAGCTAAAAATATGAAACCTCTTTCCTGCTTCTTTTAAAACAATTTCAGTACCAATAAATCTTTGTTTATTCATTGAATTTCCCCAAGAAAAGGAGAAGGGAAGGGAAAAACAGTCAGCATGTGTGTTAAAAATTGATTAGACTATGGGAAAAGAAGTAGCCAGTATAGCAAAATCAACCATCAATTAATATACCCCAGTTGTGGGCTCACCAAAGCCCAAAGGGGCTCAATCTCCAGCAGTTCAAGAATGAGGGGATGGGATCAGGAAAGTAACAGACAGGTACAGGCTACCTTCCCTCCCCATAAATTCAAGATTTCACACAAAGGTTTGGTGTCTAATAGTAAACATAGAGTTTCATTTGTCTGTCTATTAAACAATCTTTTGGCCACTTTGATGTAAGTTTCTTGCACCTGTGTAAAAGTTCCTGCGTGACTTGGATATAAATATTTATATCCCTTTACTTAGCCTCATGAGAACACTTTCTGCATGGAAGACCCTCAGTTGCTTCTCTCTACTTTTGGATTAAAGATTAAGTAGATTTGACCCATCCAAAATATAGCAGTGTCTTAAGTGTTTGGCATGAATCACATCAAGAAATGGTCTTGACTCAGGAGATTGGGAACAAGGGATGGAATGTTCCTAGTTTCTTCAGGAATTTTCTATACATCATTTAAGAGCTATGGAAATAACCCAATAATTAAATATGTATGTGTTTGGGTATGTAGGTTTTCTCTTGGGAAGGACGGGATGGAAAAGAGGGTAGTATACATGTTTCTAGCATGTATGTATTTCTTTAGTTTTTAGAGACAGAGTCTCACTGTCATTCCAGCTGGTATGCAGTTAAAGAATCATAGCTCACTGCAGCCTCAAACTCTTGGGCTTCTTTCCCATCTTTCCTGACTTTCTCATAAGGCATCTTTAAACTACCAAGTTGGATACACAAATTTTACTTTTAAAAAAATGCAGTGCATGCTTTTTTTTTTAAAGAGGATCTGATTCTGACTATCCATGCCTGTCCTCAATCTTTTATTTTTTTATTTTTCCATAAGTTATTGAGATACAGATGGTATTTGGGTGTAGGAGTAAGTTCTTTAGTGGTGATTTGTGAGATCCTGGTGCACCCACCAACCAAGCAGTATACACTGCACCATATTTGTTGTCTTTTATCCCTTGCCTACCTCCCACTCTTTCCCACAAGTCCCCAAAGTCCATTGTATCATACCTACCCCTTTGCATCCTCATAACTTAGCTCCCACATATCAGTGATATATACAATGTTTGACTTTCCATTCCTGAGTTACTTCACTTAGAATAATAATCTCTAATCTCATCCAGGTCATTGCAGATGCTGTTAATTCATTCCTTTTTAAGGCTGAGTAGTATTCCATCATATATATATATATATATATATATATGATGTATATATACATGTATATATGACATGTATATGTATATCTTATATATACATATATGTATACATATATACATGTACATATGTATATATAATATATTCATATATGATGCACATATATGTATATATGCATCATATATACACATGAATATATATCTATATTATCAATCAGTGAGTAGATAAAAAAATCATATATATATATTGATTAATAGGCATTTGGGTTGGTTCCATGATTTTGTAATTATGAATTATGCTGCTACAAAGGTGTGTGAAAGCATTGTTTTTGAACAATGACTTCTTTTCCTGTGGGTAGATACCCAGTAATTGGATTGTTGGATCAAATATTAGTTCTGCTTTTAGTTCTTTAAGGTATCTCCACACTGTTTTCCATGGCGGTTGTACTAGTTTACATTCCCACCAGCAGTGTAGAAGTTTTCCCTGATCCACGCCAACATGTACAGTTTGTTTATTCTTTGATTATGGCCATTCTTGCAGGAGTAAGGTGGTATCAAATTGCAGTTTTGAAATGCATTTCTCTGATCATTAGTGATGTTGAGCATTTTTTCATATATTTGTTAGCCATTTGTATATCTTCTTTTGAGAACTGTCTATTAATGTCATTAGCCCACTTTTTGATGGGATTGTTTTCTTTCTTATGGATTTGTTTGAGTTCGTTGTAGATTTGGGATAGTAGTCCTTTGTCAGATGTATAGTTTGTGAAGATTACAAAACACTGCTGAAAGAAATCATAGATGACAGAAACAAATGTAAACACATCCCATGCTCATGGATTGGTAGAATCAATATTTTGAAAATGACCATACTGCCAAAAGCAGTCTACAAATTCAGTGCAATCCCCATCAAAATAACACCATCATTCTTCACAGAGTTAGGAAAAACAATTCTAAAACTCATATGGAATCAAAAAAGAGCCTGCATAGTCAAAGCAAGACTAAGCAAAAAGAACATATCTGAAGGCAACATGTGTACCTGATTCCAGACCACACTGTAAGGCCATAGTCACCAAAACAGTGTAGTACTGGCATGAAAATAGGCACATAGATCAATGGAACAGAATAGAGAACCCAGAAATAAAACCAAACACACCCATCTGATCTTCAACAAAGCAAACAAAAACATAAGCTAGGGAAAGGATAACCTTTTCAACAAATGTTGCTGGGATAATTGGCAGGCCATTTAGCCGTGTAGGAGAGTGAAACTGGATCCTCAACTCTCACCTTACATAAAATTCAACTCAAGATGGATTAAGAACCTAAACCTAAGACCTGAAACTATAAAAATTCTAGAAGATAACATTGGAGAAACCCTTCTAGACATTGGCTTAGACAAGAATTTCATGACCAAAAACCCAAAAGCAACTGCAATAAAAACAAAGATAAATAGCTGGGACCTAATTAAACTAAGGAGCTTTTGCACGGCAAAAGGAACAGTCAGTAGAATATATGCTTTTATACCACTGTTGTTCCTTAGCTTATACAGAATACTGTACTTTATGTTATGCGTATTTCATGGCATATTGCTAAGACAATGTTTTACATATGATGAATTCTTGAGATTGATGGAGGAAAATGCAGATCCAAAATCACAAATCAATTTGATTGCCACCATCTTATATAACTACAAAAGTGCTCCATCTTAATTTTTTTCTTTCTCTGGCATACAGGAATGCTTTCAATTCATACTGCCAGCTCTACCTCATGCCATTGACCTTCTACGTGATGCCATTGTAAAAGTAAAGGAGGTGCATGATGAACTTGAAGATTTGCCTTCCCCACCACCTCCTCTTTCCCCTCCTCCTACAACCAGTCCCCATAAACAGACAGAAGATAAAGGGGTTCAATGCGAGGAAGAGGAAGAAGAGAAGAAAGACAGTGGTGTTGCTTCAACAGAAGATAGTTCCTCATCACATATAACTGCAGCAGCCATTGCTGCCAAGGTAAGCCTGATGAAAGACACTCAGAGGTCTAAAGGACCCACAGGTAAATGTACTGGTTTTATCTGTTTTCCATCCTATTCCTCTATACATTTAATACTTTTTCAGAGAACCTAAAAAAATAAGTGAGATGGGCTGGGCATGGTGGCTTATGCCTATAATCCCAGCATTTTGGGAGGCTGAGGCGGCTGATCACAAGGTCAGGAGTTCAAGACCAGCCTGGCCAATATGGTGAAACCACATCTCTACTAAAAATACAAAAGTTAGCCGGGCGTGGTGGTGGGTGCCTGTAGTCCCAGCTACTTGGGAGGCTGAGACAGGAGAATCGCTTGAACCTGGGTGGTGGAGGTTGCAGTGAGCCAAGATTGTGCCAGTGCACTCCAGCCTGGGCAACAGAGTGAGACTCCATCCCAAATAAATAAATAAATAGGATGTCCATGACACTCCACTACTATGTTTCCTTCTTGATATAGGTTCCTTGAGGGCACTGAAGTTTATTCTGAGCCCTGAGGCATTACTGATGAGCTGTTACCTATTGAAGTAATAGCTACCATGATAAACAATGTGACGTTTCAGAACTCTTTGGAGAAGTCATTTTTGTGGACATATTAAATATATAATGTTTATATATTCAAAATATCAAAACTTCACAAATTCTTAAAGGAACAGCAAACTGAAGATAAAAGACCTTAGATGATTCAATAAAGAGTTAGGAAATATTAATAAGGATTTTTATAAAGACAAAGCTTTTCAGCAATTGTTGAATGTTTCTTAACTAATAACTTATTCAAATATTACTTGACACAAATTACCCTAGTGGTATAGATAAGAAATAGATATATTTGCATGTTTAATTTAATTAAGTAATAAATATTATTAGGACAATACCAAAGTATTACAAATTCTCTTTGGGCAACTCCAGGGGTAAATATACTGCCATGAGTTACTTGAGTAAATTTAGCTGTCTTAAAGTTACAGAAAATGATTTATTCTTCATACCTACTAAAGTCCACCTAGCGTGCCTTAATATCTTCAGAAAGTAGCATATCAATTCTAGAAATCATAATTTTTCATTAAGAGCATAAACGTTAAAAATTTAATTGCTATATGAAATAATTCTCAGAGTTTCATGGATCATCCAGATATTTTGGCTATCAGCATAGTGAGGTGTTTTTTTAAATAACATATAGATTAGAATCACCAAGAAATCCTTTCGAAGTGTCCATTCAGTAATCCAGTAAGTAGTTACTTAAGGCTAGTAAGTATTTAAGTTGTGTGTGGTTTTTTATGAAACTAATTTGTGAAATAGGTGCATTTTTAAATCATTATATGTTCTTTTTCTTTTACTCTTTAAAAGAGTAAGAAGTGCCATAAATTTCAATCTTAAGAGAAAAGTTTTGGCATTTAAAATCTAAGCTGGTTCTGTCATTCTACATTTGGAAAATGTTAGCATTTCATTTTTCCATTTGTTTTTACCTTTTTTCCTTTTTAGTCATTTTGCTTGTATAGTTTCATGTTTTCCTGTCACTATATTCATAGTTGTTATGTGTTGTGCATTAGAAGCATCCATTCTACACCAGTCCTGCTGTTGTCATGGCACACGGTGAGCAGCCCATCCCTGGTCTCATCAATTATTCCCATCATTCAACAGATGAACGGGTAAGACAAGAAGCTTTTGCATTAATGATTTTGCAAATATGCATTCTACTTCTTCTCCTTGGAGATAGGCTGTAACATATGGAAGATGTGTTGTTTTATGCTGATGGATTTTCAGCATTGCTTTCTTGTAAAAGTGTAAGTGCCACTGAGTATATCCATCAAGGAATTTAATAGTTTCTCCTGTGACTAAAGTACTCTGCTATCATTAAGATTCTGTCATTTGTGACAATGAACTTTTATCAAATGACTTGCAAGAAATTCATTGCTCAGAAGTTATTTTTGTCTTACCAATTTCATCAGATATCTTTAAATAAATTGCTGGACTTAAGATTACCTCTTAAAAGAATCACTTTGAGTCTTAAAATCTAGACAGATTGGTCAAGCAAATAGTTGATATGTATTAACCTTCCTGTTTTTTCTCATTATTTTGCATCTCATTTTTTTTTCATTCACTAGGCCCTCATTACAACCATTTGCAGAGTTGACTTTAATATAAATTCTGTGGTTCCTCATCATAAGTAAACTTTTTAGGCTGCATGTTTGTTTATTCAGTCACTGGCTGAATGATACCTTGGGAAAAAAATGCCAGATTGTAAAAGATTAAATTGATAAGTATAAATCTTTAAACAGTGATAATTTAGATACTGGATGCAAAAAAAAAAAAAAAAATACTGATCTAAATCCCGAATATGGATATAAAATGAGAGGGGTGGAGAAGAAAAACAAATAATAGAGCGAAATTTGGGTTTTAAATACTTAGGAAGCAAAACATCCAAAATTTGGAGAGGAAAAAACCAAGTTAGCTTCCATAGCTTCTTAGAAGATATTATCAAATGTAGACTTTTTTTTAAATTTTAATTTTGTGGGGTACACAGTAGTGGATATATTTATGGGGGCATGTGAGATATTTTGATACAGGCATACAAAGGGTAATAATCATATCAGGGTAAATGGGTATCCATCACCTCAAGCATTCATCATTTCTTTGTGTTACAACCATCCAATCGTATTCCCTAATTTATTCTTAAATGTACAACAAATTATTGCTGATCATAATCACCCTGTTGTGCCATTGAGATCTTATCCATTGTATCTAACTATATTTTGGGTACCCATTAAGCATTCCCATTTCCCACTCCCCCTCCCCAGCCTCTCCACCCTCTGTAACCATCATTCTACCATCTTTATCTGCATGAGTTCAATTGTTTTCATTTTTAGCTCCCACAAGTAAGTGAGAACATGCAAAGTTTGTCTTTCTATGCCTGACTTATTTCATTTAACAATGTCTTCCATTTCCATCCATGTTGTTGCAAATGATAGTATCTCATTATTTTTTATAGCTAATCAGTACTCCATTGTATATATGTACCACATTTTCTTTATTTATCTGCCAATGGACACTCAGATTGATAGTGCTACAATACACATGGAAGTGCAGATATCTCTTCAATATACTGATTTCCTTTATTTTGTATATATACCTACCAGGGGGATTGCTGGATCATATGTAATTCTGTCTTTAGTTTTTCGAGGAACCTCTATACTATTCTGCGTAGTGGCTATACCAACCTACATTCCCACAAGTAGCGTACAAGTGTTCCCCTTTCTCCACATACTCACTGATATTCTTTATTCCCTGTCTTTTGGATAAAAGCTCTATTAACTGAGATGAGATGATATCTCATTATAGTTTTGATTTGTATTTCTCTGATGATCAATGCTGATGAACACCTTTTCATATACTTGTTTACCGTTTCTATGTTTTCTTTTGAGAAACATCTGTTCAGATCTTTTGCCCATTTTTAAATTGGATTGTTATATATTTTTTCCTATAGAATTGTTTATATATTCTGGCTACTAATCCCTTTTTAGATGCATAGTTTGCAAATATTTTCTTTCATTCCTTGGATTGTCTCCTCACTTTATTGATTGCTTCCTTTGCTATGAAGAAGCTTTTTAACTTGATGTGATCCCATTTGTCCATTTTTTTCGTTGGTTGCCTGTATTTGTAGGGTATCACTCAAGAAATCTTTGCCCAGTCCAATGTCCTGGAGAGTTTTCTGAGTGTTTTCTTTTAGTAGTTTCATAGTTTCAAGTCTTAGATTTAAGTCTTTAATCATTTTTATTTGATTTTTATATATGGCAAGAGATAGGTGTCTAGTTTTAATCATCTGCATATGGATATCCAGTTTTCCCAGCACCCTTTATTAAAGAGACCGTCCTTTCCCCAGTGTATGTTCTTGACTCTCTTTGTCAAAATGAGCTCGCTGTACATATATGGATTTGTTTCTAGGTTCTCTATTCTATTTCATTGGTCTATGTGTTTGTTTTTATGCCAGTACCGTGGTGTATTAGCTATGTAGCTCTGTAGTATAATTTGAAGTCAGGTAATAATTCCTCCAGTTTTGTTTTTATTTTTTCTCAGGATAGCTTTGGTTATCCTGGGTCTTTTGTGGTTCTGTATAAATGTTATGATTAATTTTTCTATTTATGTGAAGGTATGGTGATAGAGATTGCATTGAGTCCATAGATTGCTTTGGGATGTATGGACATTTTAACAATATTGGTTCTTCCAATCCATGAACATGGAATGTCTTTTCATTTTTTTTGTGTGTCCACTTCAATATCTTGCAAAAATGTTTTATGCTTCTCATTGTAGAAATCTTTTACTTCTTTGGTTAAATTTCTTCCTATGTGTTTTATTTGTAACTATTATAAATAGGATTACTTTCTTAATTCCTTTTTCATATTGTTCACTGTTGACATATAGAAATTCTATTAATTGGCTGGGCACAGTGGCTCACACCTCTAATCCCAGCACTTTGGGAGGCCAAGGCAGCTGGATCACCTGAGGTTAGGAGTTTGAGACCAGCCTCACCAACAAGGTGAAACCCGTTTCCACTAAAAATACAAAAAATTAGCCGGACATGGTGGCAGGTGCCTGTAGTCCCGGCTAGTAGAGAGGCTGAGACAGGGGAATTGCTTGATCCTGGGAGGCAGAGGTTGCAGTGAGCTGAGATCATGCCATTGCACTCCAGCCTGGGTGATGGAACGAGACTCCATCTGAAAAAAAAAAAAAAGAAATGCTACAAATTTTCGTATGTTGATTTTGTATCCTGCCACTTTACTGAATTTGTGTATCAGTTCTAATAGTTTTTTATTGGAGTCTTTAGGTTTTTCCACATGTTGTAGCATGTGCAAACTATGGTAACACATAATAAATAGGCGTAGATGGGGCAAAAACAGGTTTTGAGAGGGATCTATCCACTTTTAATTCCTGGGGTTCCATGAGGAAAATGGAGGTAAGTACCATTTTCTTGACCAGCAGCTTGAAATTGAGTTTGAGACAAAAAATGTGTCTCAGGGTGGGGAGGGGTTTAATGGATTCCTTATCATAAGCTGAATGCTAAGGTGAAGCTATGGAATTGAGTCCTCCTCTAACAAGGGAGAGAAAAGGTTGTCTTGTGACACACCCAGATATCTGGTGGCTATATTTATGCTTGCTGAGATTTGGGTGCATGGTGCTTGGCTTTGGTTAGCTCCCTTGGTCTTACTGTCCCAAAAAGGAAACCTCCAGGTGATGGGCATCCTATTTATTCCCATCACCTGGCAGGATTTGCAGGATAATTGCTCAGAACTAGAATATCGATCCAGATTTCTACATTACCCATCCCTTTTGTTCTTTCTGAGCTGTAGCCAGAAATTGCTGGTTCGTTCACAGAAATAAGCAGGGTTAGTCTAAAATGTAGGTAAAAACTTGAAAACAACTAGTGAGTTTAAAATTTAATGACAAATGTATAAGTTGTGAAACAATTTCTCTCTGTCCGTTTTTTATTTTTGTTAAAAATACAAATTGTGATAGGACTGAGTTGTTTGCAAAACAGACTTTAGTCTTATATTTGGCCTGATTATTTGCATAAAATGCAGCAAGAATAACTATTTCCTAATAGGCCTTTTAGACTGGCTTTGATGGAACTCTGTTCCACAAGGAATCTCAGGTAAGACCTTTTAAAGCCAAGCCCAGCCACAGATTTGTCCTCAAATACCTATGAGTTGAGTGATCGTCTCCTCTTAAGTTCCCCGGGTACTTGGGGGTCTTGGGCCTGTTAGAAAGAGATATTGTTTACTGACCACAGGTCAGGAACCCTGTACAGGAACTGTGTAGACAAGAATATAAGGCCAGTTTTCTCAAGGGGCTTTTATCAGCTCTGCAAGCCAAGCTTGACTCCTAAAAGGGAAGCATACCCTTCCAGTCCAAGCCTTGGTAAAACAACCAGTTTCTCCAATTGCATCCTGTTGCAAAAGAAAATGGACTTTTATTGTACTGATCCAAACAACTGTATTGCCATAAGTTAAGAATACTCACAAATACTTTCCCAATTCTAGAGGAACCAGGCAGAGAGAAACAAACATACTCCAAATTTTGTTCACAGTATACCTTACTTAATTATTTAGAGCTGTAAATAGTTCAAAATAAGTTTCCATGAACCTGAAGAATAAAAGCAATATTCCAAAAAAGCCAAAAAGATTGCTTCAGTTTTCTGCATTTAGTCCACTTAGTTAACTCTGTTCTTGTTTGTTTGTTTGTTTTGAAGTGGAGTTTTGCTCTTGTCACCCAAGCTGGATTACAATGGTGTGACCTCAGCTCACTGCAACCTCCACCTCCCATGTTCAAGCGATTCTCCTGAGTAGCTGGGATTATAGGCACCTGCCACCACACCCAGCTAATTTTTGTATTTTTAGTAAAGACAGTTTCACCATGTTGGCCAGGCTGGTCTCAAACTCCTGACCTCAGGTGATCCACCTGCCTCAGCCTCCCAAAGTGCTGGGATTATAGGCATGAGCCACCGCGTCTGGCCTCATAGTTGTGAACATTTTAATTCTTCATGAGTCCTGTATGTTTTTTCTTTGTTCCAATGTCACAGTCTCCAAAGTTATTAGAAACCTGCATTTGAGAGCACCTGTGGATTATAAACCATCTTTTGAAAAGGATCAAAACA